CTACGAAGCAAATCGGGAAGTTTACACGCGAAAGTGGTAGATAAAAATATGTGTGTAACACGTACATATGTATAAAGATATCAAGTTATATGTAACACGTACATATGTATAAAGATATCAAGTTATATGTAACACGTACATATGTATAAAGATATCAAGTTATATGTAACACGTACATATGTATAAAGCTATCAAGTTAATTAATTATGGGGTATCTGAGCAATTCGGGAATTTCCTTAGAAGTGAAAACTGAATCCACTCAGTTTTTCAATTGAATATGGTGTGATATGCATAATTGTGTTAGTTTTAAATTTGTTTAATGCTAGATTATATGCTTAAGCTGGAGAAATACGCACGCTCAAATCCACCTTAGTAAATATTTTATTTTTTTTGCAAAACGACCATTCAGAATTTCATAAATTAAACTATATACTTTACTACATCATTATTTGAGTTAAGTCATTCTATGCATACTGTTAATAGTACACATATGATGTTATGGTGTAACGGGCATTATAACGATCAGTTGCTGCACACGTTAATTCTTTGGTGACACGACTTCACAAGAATATTAAGTTGTCTGTATATCGCATTACTTATAACCGAGTTGACAGTGATGAATGGACAATGGGTGGCAGATCAGTCGTTTAATAGATCACACGGTGAAGGATCGTCACATCAGTAGAGCTAAATAACACTTACCAATCATCGATGTTCGGCTTAATATATTTTTTTATAGAACTCAAGGACCGGCTACGTTAAATGTGGTTCAGTGAAATGTATCTGAATTATAACATTGATAAATAACAAAATAGTACATCGTAAGAAAGCTCGTGTATCAAACGTAACAGTTTAGTGTCGCGTTTACGAAATGCCTAATCGCAAAATTGGGCTTATGATTAGATTCTCTAACAAAACTATTACATGCTTATTATGTAGAAAACAAACATTTGTTGTAGTTATATGGAGGGAAAGAGACTGTCTGAATCGTTTATGTAACACGTATTTATTTTTTACATAATGCACTTTAGAATGACTCCACGTGTCTGTGTGACAGAGTTTATCACAGAAAGCGTTGTCTGATAACTACAATAAGACACAGTGGCTCAGCAATAAGTCTGAAGGCTTATAACGCTCAAATCCGGGTTTTGATACTCGTTGCGGCTACAGCAGAGATAGTCCACAGTGTAGCTTGGCGTTTAAAAAATATTTGATAAAATAGTTAATAAATAATATACATATTTTAAAAATTGAACGAAAATTAATTTATAGGAGCCACTACTAGTATTATTTGTAATGAAAACGAATGAAAAAAAATGTGTAGCACTTAGATAAGCGAAACTCAAACTTAAGAAATTACATACTGAAATTTACGAGTGGTAACGTAGATAAGTTAAAACCCAAGAAATTGCACGCTTAAGTTTACGGGTGGTCATTCAGTCGTCTCAGTACATACTGATTTTATGTGGTGAGACTCAAACCATAAATCCTTGTACTCATAGTCTAGGTACGCTAACTACTGAGCCATTTTTAGTTAGAGGTGGTTTGTTTGACTGAAGGTAAGCACAAAGCTCTGCCCATAGCGGGGATCTAAACCCGGTTTATAGCGTTGTAAGTCCGCAGACATATTGCTGTGCCACTGGGGGGGGGGGCAGTTAAAAATGGCTAGAAGCATGATTAAAATAACAAAACCGTAACACTTAATGTTTGGACAAGTTAATTCTATGTTGTAATCAGATGCTAAGTGTTGATGACTTATTCTCATCATCTCGTATCAAGTGATGCATGAAGATGACATTTTAACATCAGTTTTAGCTAGGTTAACCACATGTTTATTATCTTAGCTGTTATAGGTTACTTAGTTGTAAGTACAGAAGTATTTGATAGTTTCAATGCGATATAAGATACTGACTTATGACATTGATTTCAATCATTTGAATTATGCCCTTTAATACATAAAATCTGTAATGCGAAAACCGTACAGTACGGTATTTTCGCAATAAACCCTTACTAATTCTGTTTAATACTATGATTATTATCTTTTTTATTTCTTTCATGACATAAAAATCAGTAGTTCAAGCAATAATTAATCATCTAATTATTTATCAGAACAACAAATATCGATAAACACATTCAACTCATTAAGGAGCAGACTTTTATATTCGTGTACACTTGCGCTAGCTGTCCTTAACTTTGAACTGATAGACTAGAAGGAAGGCAGCTAGTCAACAGCACCCACCGCCAACTCTCGGGCTACTATAATCGAATAGTAGAATTTGACTGTCACACTTAGAAAAATACATCCGCGGTTTCAAAGTGCGGAGCGCGTTTTTGATGTACTTGGACATGAGTCATATATGAAACTTCAAATTCACAATCCGGCACACTAATTATTAGGCCACGCTTAGCCCCGCATTCGGCAGATAAAATTATCATTTTTTTATTTTTTATTTTGAGGAAACTAAATTCCACAGATACGGTTGACTCTCCAGTCTCCCATTCCTTAATATTCTGAATAGTTTTTTTTCTTCTTTCTTTTTTTGAGCAGAAGGATTTTGAGGTTTCTTTTACTTCCATGCCTTGCGGGTCTTGGCGGAAGGAAATGGTTATGTAAATTGGGTATTTAGACGTAAATGGAACGATGTGTCTTCTTTCGTCGTTCTTTGGAGCAAGGATGATAGTTAATTGCGGCAGGAGGGAAAAGGGTAACTTTTACTGTCATAAGTGTCACCTCAGAAGAAAATTGGTATTGAAGGAGACCACCCACACCACTGTAACAGGGGAAGCGATCAGAGCGTAACAGAACAGTAAAGAGGAATATGACATGGATTGAGAATTTTTTTATATACTGTTCAATAATTTGTTTTTTCTTTAGCTGGTCAAATCGTAACATTCCTTAAACTAAGTAGTCAAATAAAAAATAAAATTTATTTTGAACTTTTCATGTTTGACAGTCGTTTTAAGTAACGCAGTTTGTCTAACCCCATGAAAACAGTCATGCATTAAAATATGTGAACGAAACTTGAAAGGGAAATTCGTTTGTTGTTCCTGTAGTTTTTATATAGTGAATTAGGAATCTTGGCGTTCGCAATTTGTAAGCGACGTGGGACAACGAACATTATCTATTTTATATAATTCTGTGTTCTCAATCCAAAAATAAAATATGAATTAGCCGAACTTTATTCATTTATTTTTTGTGGAATCAGTAACAATTATTATGTTCTCTTGTGAAGGAGAGAAATAGACAAAAGCAAAGGATAAACAGAAAATTATGCTTCTTCAAACTTGAATGAGTAAACTGTTTATTTCGTTCGTTATTTAGTCAATTTGTTGTTAAGTACAAAGCTACTTAATGGGCTATGTGTGCTGTGCCCACTACGAACCTCGAAACCCAATTTTTAGAGTTTTAAGCCACTGACTTGCCGTTGACATTGTGTTTTTCATAATCGCGACTAGTATTGCCATATCGTCTGTTACATTAATAATATACCACCAAACATGCTTGCCCTTTCAGCCGTGTTGGCGTTATAATGTGACGGTCAATCCCACTATTCGTTGGTAAAAGAGTAGCCCAAGAATTGGCGGTGGATGGTGATGAATAGCTGCCCTCCCTCTAGTCTCACACTGCTAAATTAGGGACGGCTAGCGCAGATAGCCCTCGTGTAGCTTTGCGCGAAATTCAAACAAACAATAAACAACAACAACAATACATTAATAATCGTTTTCTAGTTTTAGACAGTCACATAAAAAACGTAGATTTCTCAATAATCAAATTTCAGAACAAGAAGTTTGAAATGAAATATCAGTATTTTTGGGTTAGAAAATGAACCCGAAAATCAATTGTTTTGGGGAAGCTATTAATCTGTCGTATGGAAAAGGGGGGGGGGAAGGCGCCAAACGTATCCCTATAAAAAATACTAAATAATTAGATTTTATAAATCACTTCATTGAAACAAACGTACGTTCCCAGATCTCTCCTAATAGGTAATGTGCCATACGATCACAATGTAGGAAAAATCAGCTTAATTAGCTAAGATTCACAATACGATTTCTATTTTTGCTAGTACTTTCTGGTTGCTGTGTAAATTAAAGACGTACAGAAACTGTCTCTTGACCATCAGTCGACCGATTTTGAAAGTAGATATAAAATAAACAGGTAACTCTCGTTAAGGATTGTTTATTTATTTTAGAACAAAGCCACATTGAACTACCTGCTGCGTCCACCGCGGAAAATCGAACCCCGGATTTTAGCGTTATAAGACCACTGACCGCTGCGCCACCAGAGAGTCGTTAAGGAACGAGATATTATTGTATTTCAATAGCGTATTCTGTTATCTTTCAGTATCTTGGTATTTTTTAGAAATACTTCATAATGAATACTCTGCAAAGCAAATTTAATTTCGGTAATGTGTCATATCTACATTTGTTTTCATAACTGGTAAATCAGTTGGAGACATAACTATATGCAAAGTATACGTATAACTAGTACTGTTAGCTCTGACAAAAAAAGCTCAACCGTAACATGCAAGATGGAATATGATGCATATGAGATATAAACCAGGAGTTTGCGTTAAAATATTATTTATCTTTTTTGAACAAGTATTCGCTTTAGCAAAAAGCTCTGAAGTACAAAGCCTTTTGCACAAATTCACGTTATTAATGAAACGAACTCCATAGGAGATTACAACAATAGTAAGCGAAACCATTCGTAAGTGATGTCAGATGTATAACTGTTACAATGTCATAACCTCTAATAATGGTGACACGTGTGGTGATTCTATAGTCAGTTATTTGTAGATGTTAACTGCTTTTCAAATCGAAATTACTTTAGTGTTTTCCTTATAGTAAATTATCGGTCAAAAGTATAATGTGGTAATCTTCTTTTGAGGAACATATAATAAATATTTTTCTTAACTTACATTTAACTTGTTTTAGTATAGATCCCAGTAAAATTACCGTGTGAGCATTTCTTTATCTCACCTAATATTTCTCTGTACCAGGGCCCAGGTCTCGGCGAATAAAGAAGAAATTGAAGCCTGACGAAAAACGGCCAAGAACTGCTTTCACAGCAGACCAGCTAGCCCGACTCAAGGCAGAGTTCCAAGAAAACCGCTACCTGACGGAGAAAAGACGACAAGACTTGGCTCGCGAATTACAACTTAACGAATCCCAAATCAAAATTTGGTTCCAGAACAAGCGAGCAAAGATCAAAAAGGCCACTGGCCATACTAACTCGCTGGCCATCCAGCTGATGGCTCAGGGCTTGTACAACCATAGTACGATCCCTGTTCGTGATGATCTGGACGACAAGGATATTGACTCGTCGTAGACTGGTTTGTTGACACCACCCTGACTGTACATATCACCGTTTAAAGACTTTTTAACGTCATGGCGTACTAAGCCCTCGCTCATATGTATGTTATAAACTCAGTTCGTCGTCTAAATATTATGTAGAATGATGCAGGAATAATATCGTCGATCTTCATTACTATGGCAGTTTCTCAGGTGTGAAACTCGTGACGAGACAATTCTTGATAACGAACATATATTTCGTCGTCCAGTCTACACGTCCCCTGACACCATCGTGAAATAAAAATTTTAAGTAACAACAATTATTGTAAATTGGGACACAGTCGTACAAGCATAAAGATTACGGACTTACCAAGTAATCTGCTAGTTTCTAAGTCATTTCGTGCTATGTTGTGTGTAGTGTATATCCCTTATATATATCTATATATATAGTAAATCATGAGATCAGCATATGTCGCCCTTGGATGTTTCATAAAGTCACAATGACTGCTATTCAACTTCTCCATTATTTTGGAATATGATTTAATTATAATAGCCTCTGTCATGAAACTCGTCGTTGGTCTTCAGCTTATGACAAAGCTCAAGAAGTCCAACTTTGATCAGTGAGACTGATCCAGATTGTCACTGACTTAGTTGGTCTTGAAGTTGTGCCACATCTGGTTAATCTCAAATTTTCTTCAACTTATTCTTTTGGCTTTGGTCAGAATTGGTCATGAATAAGCTTCAGTATTCATGTAGCTTTGTTGGTCTCGAGTTTGTTTCACACCAGTAACCTCGTTCATCTTCAAATGATCTCAGAATTGGCTGGATACAGTTTGTGTCTCAGGTTACTATACTCTATAGTTTATGCCATGCTTTGTGGATCTCTTTCTTCACACAAACATAAACTTTTAGACTCCATTAAGTGTAACACTGATCATTTGTGTCTTGTGTGAAACGTCATCCTTTATCAAGTTATTTAAACTTTTATTAAGAGAGATCAGTTCGGAGTTCACATTAAACTTAATTTATCTCAAATCACATTTTACCCCCGTTTAACCTTTAGGCTTAACATCTATGCAGAACAATGTATTTTTTTAAATAATAGAGAGAACAGCTAAGAGCGGAACATTTCTTACGTTTATTGGTTAACAAATATTTAATTTTATTTGAACACTATTTCTATCTTGTACGGTAGTGATGAAGAATGTTTGGGGATCGAACAAATGAGCTTTGAGGACCTCGTATTTGCAAATATTGAGTTCTCTGTTGTAAGAATGTTCTTATAAAGAGGAAAACACCCCTGAATCCCCATTACATTGAGCACCCTTAACATAAAATATATACTGATTAATTGATCTGAAGGTTACCACGTTGGAACCTTAAATAAGAGGTCTGAAAAGTTCTGTGACATTCTGTATGCGATCAGTCTTCGCCATGAAACATCGGAACATAGAGTGAGGCCTCTTCTATTCGTTCCCCATTTTTTTACACCTCTGGTATTTGCATTTACTTTTCAACCATGTTTCTGTAAAGCAAGGTGCTAATTCAACGTCTTTTTCATTGTGTATGATATAATGTTCAACTAAGCTAAGACATTGGCTATTATCTATATGTAAATACTAAAATGCTCCTAAACTCATATCGAAGGTCTGAAGGTGGGAAAAAAAATCAAGGAAAATAAAAGAGCGTTATCTGTCTTGTAATGCAATATGTGTAGATTGGCTTGTTGTTATAGCAGCAGGTTTTCTAGATATTTCATGATGTTAACCGCAAGTATCACCAAACCCCTGAAAATCGAAAAATGAATAGAAGAGAAAAATTTCAGATGCAAACACTAAAATATGCATTTCATTAACAAAATTATTTTATCAAGCCAATCAGATTATAATCACTTGTTTCGCAGATGATTAGACTGTTTTATAGTGTGTATTACAAAAACCAGATGGCATTGCAACAAATGGAACAACGTTATGTTTATAACAAATTAAATGATGTTATCTATTCATCTTTTTCTATCGTTGTAAAACCTTAAGCTAAACGAATTAGCTAAATGTACAGCTTTGAATTAAGTTATGTTGACATAGTCGATGCTTCTGTCTTAAGAAAAACTTTTTCCGGATTTCCCCCCCCCCCTTTTTAAGATTAACAATGCAGTAGTGTTTCACAGGGGTCTCTAGTGTTCCTTGTTGGTCTGATCTTTACTGGTATTTATGATAAAATTAGTTGTGTATTATAGTTACCCCTTTGTGAGTTTGAGTGTACATATAAGTTTTCTGTACAAATTTTGCATGATTGGAAATAAAATATTTTCATTGCTGTAAAACCTTTGACTTAAATATGTTAGGCGAACGTGAGCAGTCTTTAAGTGTGATTTTAAAATTCACGGAGATTCTGACCGCTGATTGGTTGAGGAAAGAAATATTACATAGTTACAATTAGTATAATAATAATGTTTTGAGTTTCCTCGATGTTACGTTGAAATTTTCAAAATTTTGTTTCAAGACAATAAAACATTATTTGAATATTATTGTCCGCGTAGAATAGGGATTAGGTAACAATTTTTTTTTAAATTACAAATTATGAAAATTTACAAGACTTACTTATATAATTATATATGAATACTGAGCGATCGTTGGTCAATAAAAAACAAAAGCATTGCAAACCTTGTAAATGTTTCCCAATAACTAGATCATTTTGTAAATTATGTAAAAGGGGATTAGTTTATATTTTTCGCAAAAGAATAATTAAATTCCATGAAAATTGGACTTGAATCTTTCCGGAATTCTTCATATTTTTGTATTTTCTTAAACCACGTGGTCACCAACAAATCCACGTGCTAATAATTAGAACAACCTAATACGAAGTAGAGCCTTTAAATTGATTTAAAAATAACAACATTAAACAAGAAAATTGCCTTTCTTTGAAACACAAATCAAGTTAAACTAAAACCTTGAACTTTTGAATGAAAACAATTAAGTCTAATTAGCACGGTTAAGCAGTAGTCTCGCTGCAGACATTAACCTTAGCTATTAAACCAAATCATCTTATTTTGTTCATGGTAGTTTTCTATGTGTTTTACAAACCACTGTAATTATAATATAAAAACGTTGTTTTAAGTTTATACATATGCATATATATACACACATCCGATATTGTTTATTTCTGATTACAGTATTGTTCAGCGTTAATAAGGTTTGCAGTAACGTAGGAAATTAGTTATATCCAATCGTCGTGGTCATTTTTATTTCAAATTAATTACTTAAAGAATAAACACGTGTTTTCAAATTAAATATACAATTTTTGTGTTATTTACACAATAATTCTTCTAATTCATTGCTGTGCAAAGCCTCGTCAAAAAATAAATAAAAAAATTTCTGCCGGCAGAGGAAGAACAAGTTTCTTTCTTTGTTTGTTACTAAGCATACAGCTTCACAATGGGCTATATGTAGTCTGCCCATTGCGGGCATAGAAATTTGATTTTTAACCTTATAAGCCTCAGACTTACGGCTGAGCTACCAGGGGACATTGGAACAAGAAACGCAAGGTAGGTAGATTTTAAAATGGCGGATAGTGGTAACTCGAAGAAACAGCGAGGATGTCGAAAAAGATAACTTTGAGTGGAATACTTATTTCTTTTTGAGTGAGAAATGTTATCCATTCTACTATATTATCACAGCCATCTTCAACACTTTCTATTTGATTGATCAAAGCGAAACATAAAAAAGTAAGAATCTTCTAGATTAAATTACAATTTTTTTATGGTCAGTTGTAATTTGTTGTGCTTAGCTAACGTATATAGTTATGCATACTTTTGACAATAGTAATAATTAGCAGATGAGATATTTACAATCATATTTAATGCACTTATATAAGACAGTAGACGTCGCTGTATTTTTTTCTGATTGTTTCTTGTGAAGTCTGCGCGGAAGAGACAGAAAGTATTCCACGGAGGAAAAAGTCCAAAAACCAGGCGGTAGACTTCTGCCGGAAGAGGCAAAGGCCTAATAAACGCATCTATTTTATACATATTTAGATTTGCACTGCCTTAAGATTGTTCTTGGAGAAGGTCGTTTGCTGATACCAGTTATAAAACAAGAAACATGTTTTCCACTTGATACAATTAATAGTAGGAAGAAAAAACGGATAACACAGGCCTGCGAACCTAAACTTCATAAAAGTTGTTTTGGTTTTAATACCAGATTTTTCATAATGCTGCTACGCAGATTTCGAAAATTATTCATTTTTTTTCTATCACGTAAGGATTTTTTTACAAACCGGGAAGAAAAAAAAACTCTTTCTTACATCAAATTATTATTTCGTTTACCACAACGAACATTGTTTTATTATTATGTTTGTTAAAAAAAATACGAACAAACTGAAGGAAAGAACATTGATGTCAAACGAATATTCATCCTCATTCATTCTGATTTGTAATGTGAACTCTACGTCTTTTAGTCTCAAAACTACGTGTTGTGGTCTTTCTTTTATGTGTTGCGTTACGACGTTTTGTGAAAACAAAATACGTGATGGAGAAAAATGGATATCATTTTCGGATTCAGCGTACAGGAATTACTGTAGAACATGTAAAAATGTCAAGACAATAAAACCATCGCAGGTCTTTGTAACCTAAACTAGTTTTCTCTAGTTTTAAAATGAATGTTGGGAATTTCAAGAGTTTCTAGTTATTTTTAACGGATAGTATTAACAAAAGGTGACGCTATACCACAGTAAACATGTTAATACATATCTTAAGAACACAGCAGCTTCCTTACTGAAGCCATTTAGTTGATAGAAAAGTTATTATATATATATATACTCCTCAGTTTACTTCAACAATTTACACAGTCATGTATTTGCTAACGATTAAACTATTATTTTATTACAAAATAATAAAAAATATAACGCTACTTCTTCTAGTTAATTATTATACTTCTAGTAAATATTTGTAAGTTATTTAATTTTTGAAACGTACATATAGGCTAGTGCAGATGTGTGTGTGGAAGGTATGTTTGTTTTAGAATTTCGCGCGAAGCTATATGATGTCTAATTTAGCAGTTAGAGAGAAGGCATCTAGTCAACACCACTCACCGCTACTCTTTTACCAACGAATAGTGGGAGCGACCGACACTTTATAACGCCCTTACGCCTGAAAGGGCTAGCATGTTCAGTGACAAGGATTTGAACGTGCGATCCTCAGATTGCGAGTCGAGCGCCTTAACCACCGGGCTATGCCAGAGTCGTCTATAGAAGGAACTAACGAGATAAAAACACTTTTGTGCTATATAACTTAGCATGGTATCTAAAGTTTACTAATTCCTTGAGTAACCGAACATTTAATAATTGTGTGTACATGTGACGACATTTACTTCTGGACTTTTATGCAAATTGCTATGTTACTTTCGACAACACAACACCATTTCAAACACGAGAGACAAAGAACAAAATGTTTGGTAACAACCTAGTTATGTTCTGAATATGTAAGTCGTTTGACTCAGAGACGCAGATGTAACGACTACACTTGATATCTCTACATTTCAGTCTGCACCTCATCGTTCCTGGATCACAAACCTCCTCATGTCATTAGTTGTGTCATACTTTCCAACACTGATAAGTTAGTCAAATACCCGTCCCATACGCCCTGTCTTCTGACGTGCCACTGCCTCGCAGTTGGTACTAATTAGCACTAGGTATGAGAGTAGCCAGACTCCCGCAGGAAGCCCAGCATTCCTCTCCGCTACATAGGCACTGCTTCCTATTAGAGGCTCATTAAAAGGAAAAGAGTTTGTTTAAAGCAGTCATCTAATGTCGTCAGAAATCACACCAACCAAGACCTCACACGATGAAACCACTGGTAAGCTAGTACTCGTGTTTCCAAGTCTTCGTTATCAGCATTTTCTCTGGCTTATGCACGTGGCCTGAGGAGTGAAATAGCATTGCGGTACTTTAAAACATATTAATTTCTTATGAAAGGATTGTTGTCATTTTTTACACATTTATTTATTTGAGAGAATAAATGTTAAATGGGATACTGAAATCCCTTTATGTTTAAACAATCGCATTCAACATCACTAAACCTTTTCAGAACTGTTGATTCTAATGTAATCTTATTAAGGACTATTAATTGTAGAGCAATTTTTATTTTCAGGACTATTGATTGTAGGGTAATCTTTTTTCTTCAGGATTATATTATTGATTGTAGTGTAATCTTCTTCAGAACTATTGATTGTACTACAATGTTTCTCTTGATAAATATTGATTGTAGTGTGATATTTTTTACAGAAAACTGTTGATTGTGGTATTATACTTCTCTTCAGGACTACTGGTTGTATTTAATTTTCCTTTGCAAAACTATTGACAATAATGTAATATTTCTTTTCAGAGCTATTAATTATAGCGTGATCTTCCTCTTTTGGACTATAGATTGCAGTGTGATATTTTTCTTAAAACATTGGATTGTAGTGTAATCTTCTTCTTCAAGTCTATTGATTGCAATGTTAAGCTTCTTTCTCTTCTGGACTTGAATTTCATTGACGGTAGCGTAATACCTCTTAAAGAGAACATTGATTGGAACAGCATAAATACTGAATACAAGCAATGGTGAAGGTATAAATAAAACTATAAAAACACTTTATTTTCGCTATAGTTTGAAACAGTTAAATTTTATAACACCGTGCGTAGTCCATTTAAAAACATCTTAATACTTTATCCTCAGTGGGCCATGAAACCAGCCAGCGTTGATCAGAAAAGTGTAATTTAAGCAACGTCTAATGGAATATGTAGAAAGTATTATGTCTAGGGCGTATCAACTGGAATAACCTGAGACTAAATATTAATTTAAAACTCCATTCTAGATTGCAAAGCGTATTTCAAGAATACTTATTGAGATCATAATACGGAATTAGTTTATGATCGTGTTATTAGTGCAAATAGACCCAGTGTTACCTTATAACTAGACTAAAATTAGTGTAAAAACACCAGACTTGATACGACGGAGTAAATATTTGATATTCAGCCTGGACAATATCTTATGCGACACATGTGATATGCTCGATCCATTGTCACGAACGTGCGGAACTTTCTGTGCTGTAATAAGAGACTCGGGCCCGGCATGGCCAGGTGGTTAAGGCACTCGACTCGCAATCTGAGGGTCGCGGGTTCGAATCCCCGTCACACCAAACATGCTCGTCCTTTCAGCCGTGGGGGCGTTATAATGTGACGGTCAATCCCACTATTCGTTGGTAAAAGAGTAGCCCAAGAGTTGGCGGTGGCTGGTGATGACTAGCTGCCTTGCCTCTAGTCTTAC